TCTTGATGGTTAATGACATTAAGAATCTTTTCATGTACTTATTTGTCTAAAATAGTTACTTTCTAAAAAAAAATTTATTTCACTCTTGCTCCAAAACACACAGATTTCACTACCTTCTTTTATGTCCTATGTTGGAACATACTTTCTCAAAATGCAGCAATCGTAATCACTTGCACCCCTCCTGCCACACACACACCTTCAGCACATGCTTTACATGCAATCCCTTTCAAAACTGAGTCCCATGCCTTATCTTCGTTGTTGTGGTGGTTAGATGCCATCAGGTCGATTCTGACTCATAGCGTCTCTATACATTACAGAAAGAAACACTGCCAGGTCCTGCGTCATTCTCACAATTGTTGTTATGATTGAGCCCACTACTGTTGCAACTGTGTTAATTCATCTCATTGGGGGTCTTCTTTCTTTTTTTGCTGACCTTCCACTTTGTCAAGCATGATGTCCTTCTCTAGGGACTGATTCCTCCTAATAACATGTCCAAAGTATGAGAGATGAAGTTTTACCATTCTGGCTTCGAAGGAGCATTTGGGCTATGGTTCTTTGAACACAGGTTTGTTCTTCTGGCAGTCCATGGTACTTTCTCAATATTCTTCTCTAGCATCATAACTCAAGTACATCAACTCTTTTAGGATCTTCCTTATTCATCATCCAACATTCATCATTCATATGCATATGTTGTTGCTTTTAAGTATCATTCAGTCGGTTCCTATTCATAGCCACTTTGTGTAGGGTTTCCAAAGAGTAGCTGGTGGGTTTCAATTGCCAACTTCGTGATTAGCAGTCAAGTGCTTATCCCACAACACCAAACCATATGAGACTATAGAAAACACCATAGCTTGGGTCAGGCACATTTTAATCCTCAAACTGCTATCTTTACTCTCGAACACTTACACTCTTGTGCAGTAAATTTACCTAATGCAATCTGTCATTGATTTCCTGACTGTTGCTTCCATGAGTGTTGATTGTAGATCCAAGCAAAATGAAGTCCTTGACCACTTTTCTCCATTTTCATGATGTTATTTGTTGGTTGTTTATGGATTGATTATTGGTGAAGATTTTTGCTTTCATTGCATCAAGGTGCAATCCATTCCCAATGCTGTTGTCTTTGATGTTCATCAGTAAGTATTTCAAGTCCTCTTTGTTTCCAGCAAGCAAGGTTGTAGATGATTGTTAATAAATCTTCCTCCCATCCTGATAAAACATTCTTTTTCATATAATCCAGTTACTCAGAGTATTTGCTCAGCATACAGACTGAATAAGTAAAAAATTACAATCCAGGCAAAAAACTTTCCTGATTTTGAACTATTTTGTATCCTCTTTTGATCTTAAAACATCTGCCTCCGTGGAGAGATGGAGAGGCTGGGGACTTGAGATCCAGAGAGGGAAAGGGGCTGTGTGCCAATGACCGGGGGTGGGGGAGTGGGAGGGAGCAGGTTTGCAGGGTATACCCTTTGGTTGGTTGATGATGCATGGATGGGATTGTAATTATGGCAATGAAATGATATATGGCAGAATGAATGTATAACCTATAGTATCCCATGTAAACTATCACATAAGTCACAATAAAACACTTATTTAAAAAAATTAATTAAATAAAAATGTAAAAAAAAAAAGAATCTGCCTCTTTGTCCTTGTACTGGTTCATCATGAACATGATTAAGTTGTTCTGGAATATCTATTCTACCAATATTGGGGGACCTTTTTTCTGCTAAAAATTATAACATCCTTCATGGGCCATACAAAATTACCAACTTTAAAAACAGCCTACTATATTTGGTCAAACATTTAATTAACTTGCCTCTAATGTGATGGCTGGTGTGGTGCTGTGGGTTAATGTGCCAGACAGCAAAGCTGTTTGAACTGCAAGGTGGGTGGTTCAAGCTCACCTGCTACTCCTCAGAAACCCTAAACACGGTCACTATGGGTCAGAATTGACTCGACGGCACTCAAGAACAACAATGTGATGGCTAGAACTGCGGTTGCCTTTGCAGGGACAAACCAAATGATTTCACAGGCCTCATATTGCTAGTGGACCGATGTTTCCCACCTCTTATCTATACTGTCAAAAGCACAGTCAACAAACCACAAGTAATCTTCTTTCTGATATTCTCTACATTTGGTCAAGATCCATCTGATGTCAGCAATGATATATTGTTTGTTCCATGTCCTCTTCTGAATTTGTCTTGAATTTCTAGTAGTTCCCTGTCAGTATAGTATTGCAGCCATTTTTAAATGATCTTGGGCAAAATTTTACTTGAATGTGGTATTGCGATATCCTTTGATAGTTTCCAAATTCTGTTCCAAAACCTCTTTTTGGAATGAGCACAACTATGGATCTCTTCCAAACAGTTGGCCAGGTAGCATAGGTAAGAGTGCATTTCTCCAGGGATGCATCCGTTTGTTGAAAGATTTCTATTTGTATTCCATCAATTCCTGGAACCTTGTTATTTGGCAATACCTTCAGTGCACCTTGAACTTCTTCACTTAGTACCACTGGCTCTTGATCATATGCTATCTCTTTGAAATGGCTGACCATCAATCATTTCTTTTTGGTACAATACCTTTGGATATTCATTCCATCTTCTTTTGATGCTTCCTGCATCATTCAATATTTTGCCCATAGAGTCCTTCACTATTTCAAGCAGAGACTTGATATTTTTCTTCAGTTGAAAGTTTGAGGAATGCTGAGCATGTTTCTTCCCTTTTGGTAGTCTAACTCCAGGTCTTTGTTCATTTCATTATAATATCTGACTTTGTCTTCTAGAGCTGCCCTTTAAAATTTTCTGTTCCTTATTTCTTCCATTTGCTTTAGCATCTCTACGCTGGAGAGCAAGATTCAGAGTTTCTTCTGAGAGCTATTTTGGTATTTTCCTTCTTTCTTGAATTCTTAATGACCTTTTACTTTATTCCTGTATGATGTGCTTGATGTCATCCTACAACTCTTCTGGTCTTCAAGAAAATGGAGAAAAGAAGGAAGTGGTATCCAAGGCATCAAATCTATTCTTGAGATGATCTCTAAATTCAGGTGGGACATGTTCAAGGTCATGTTTTGGCTCTTGTGGACTTGTTTTAATTTTTTCAGCTTCAGCCTGAAGTTTCACGTGAGCCACAGTCTGTCCCTGGCCTGGTTCTGGCTCATGATATGGAGCTCTTCTACCATCTCTTACCAAACATGTGGTCAATTTGATTTCTGTGTATACCATAAGTTGAGCATTAAACTTTAAGATCTATCTTGAAATGTTCTTTTTGATGATGAATGTGATGCCATTCCTCTTCAAGCTGTCATTCCCAGCATAGTACATATTCCTATAAACTATATAATTATCAGATTTTAAACGTCCAACATCAGTGGGTTTGAACCATTGATCTTTCAGTTGGCACCTTGGTATAAGAGAGGGGATGCCCAAAACAGCTTCATGTCTCACTTTGGTTCTCTGTTTCAGTCAAAGTATTTAGTCATAGGATTACATAAACTTCTTTTGTGATCATTCAGCCATTCTTATTGATTTCTGACTAAACACTGGAGACTTCAAGTCCATAGGTTCTGTCTTCCTTTAGCTAACAATCTAACACTGATGTGTTATAAAGTCAGTGGGAGAGGAGAAAGTGACTAATTCTGTCCAATAGACTTTGATATCGAGGGTGTGAAGGAGTTTCACAATCAGTCTAGGAAGATATGAGCATTCTTGTGAAGAAAATCTGGCTCTGGCAACCGGTCCCAAACCTCATGATATGCAGTGTGGCCATTCCTGATTTAATTTTTAGTAGACGGCAGTATTTGAATTTAATCAATTAGCTGTGACATTTGTAATGGTTATGTTTAAAGTGTTGTCTAATTTAATATGCTGCTTTACTTTACTTTGAGACAGGTAATCTTTGATGAATCAAGGGAACGGACAGCTGCTCTTCTAATTGCACAAGCATGTGGCAGTCAAGTCTGATTTACGTTCAGTTGAAATCTGTCTTCAGAGGAAAAGTATTTGAAGTTTTGACCTTAGAAGGTTATGCATTAAACTGGAGACTGCTTTGTACCATGCTAGCATTCTCATTTCCCTAATATGCATCCAGGTATCTGCATGTTCAGACTTTTTTTTTCCCCTCCAGATGTCATGGAGTCAATAGTGTTATCTTCCAAATAGTGTTATCAGTGTAGAACTGTTCTTCATAGGGTTTCCAATGACGATATTTTTGGAAGTAGATCATGAAGGCTGTCTGGTGATTCAGGTCTTCAACTTTTAGGTTAGCAGTTAGATGTGTTAACTTGTCTGTACCACCCAGGGACTGTACGTTCAGTTTTAAGTATGATACTATTGGTGTAAGTTTAGGAAAAAAGTAGCCTCCTTTTTTTTTAAAAAAAGGATAGATATAAGAAAAGCTTGAACCTTCAACCTTTTGGTTAGCAGAGAAGTGCATTAACTGTTTGTATCATACAGGGGCTGATAACAGCTCTAGTATTAATATATTAATGTATTTGTTGGACATTTAAGTAAGATTTCTCTCTTGGGCAATTATTTAGCACATTGCATTGTCATAACATATACATTAATTTGGCCTTTCATTTATCCTTTAAATTTAGGCATCAATTTCTTGAAATATGATCCATAAAGAAATCCTCTTCCCAGTACAGATTCTCTATAGCTGAAACTTTGGCACAAAAAATTGACATGTTAGATAGAGTACTGGCTATTCGTAGCTGAAAATCCAGAGAAAATCTGATTTACATTCATTAATAGTAGTTAGTATGCACTTGGCTACCAACCAAAAGGTTGGGTGTTTCAAGTCTTCCCAGAGATGCCTTCAAAGAAGGGTCTGGAAATCTACTCAAGCTTCAAATTTTGCCAAATCTCACTACCCTCATAGGCTTGCTACCTCAGATGAGGGTCATCTAATTTTTCATTCAGGCTATAAAAGTTGGCAGCATTAGTGTTGTCACACCTAATAAAATACAAGTTTTAAAACGTCATCATGCAGATGAAAATACCTACCTTTCTTGTAGAATAAGTTTGTTCTCTTTCTTCCAAAAATCTTTAAAGTCAGAGGTGAATTCATGCCAGATACTGAAGAAAACATTTGGGGACACCTCCTTCTCTCCAATTTTTGGTTTCATGAAGAAATAAGATGTAGTCTCCAAAAAGCTGTCAAAACACACACATACAAGAGCATAAAAGCTATGATTACTTTTCAATATGGGATATTTTCTGCCTATCCAAATGTTGATTTCATTCATGCATAGTTATTTTTACCAGGAAGACTCAAACTGTTCAGACATTAACAATGGTTCTCTTATGGGTTGATGTTAGAGTTTCAGATACAGATAGTAGTATATGGCACCACTCCTCTATTTACCTCTGGTAGCGTAGTGGTGATGAATCGGGCTGTGAACCGCAAGGTCAGCAGTTCGAAACCACCAGATGTTCTGTGGGAGAAAGATGAGGCTTTCTGCTCCCATAAAGATTTACAGCCTCGGAAACCCTGTGCAAGGTCGCTAGGAGCCAGAACCAACTGCACGGCATATAACCACCACCACCAAACCAGGAAAAAAAAAACAATCAGTTCCTGTTGAGTTAATTCTGACTTACGGTGACCCCGTATGTGTCAGAATAGAATAGTGGTTTCAACAGGCAATTTTTCAAAAGTAGATCATTAACCCTTTCTTCCAAGGCACCTCAAGGTGAATGAACTGTCTGTACCATCCAGGGGCTGATGACAGCTCTAGTCCAATTCCAAAACTAATCATGGATTTCCTAACATAATTCTGAAGTGAACTTATAGTCAAACTAGAAAATATTAGAAGTTCTGGTCCTGTTCTTTCAAAACTGTAAACAAATGAAATAGCAGTCATTTATAAAAATATTGATAAGTAGTCCATATTCCCATTCTATTATATTGTTTATATACAATTTGACTTCCTCCACTGCTGGGGCAAAATAAAAAACAAGAGACTCAGGAGATATGGACAAAATCTCCCATTACAGATTATGGTCATATCATGAGTGGGCATCAGTATGGCAGCCAGCACATGGACTGTAGACTGGTCAGTACCAGTGTGATTACAGAAAATGTCAGTGCAGAGACTCCTTAATAGTTTAGCCAACTAAAACTCAGAAGACGTTCCGAAGGGTGACTATGCAAAGAACACACAATTAATAAAGGGTATATTTATGACAACAGGTCTTCTGCTTAATGAAGAACACTCTGAAAATGACCCAGGCCAACCAAAACTGATGATGTTCTAGTGAAAGAACATGGGTAGCTGGTCAGAGTGTGACCAGAGATGATGCAAAAAGGTGCACTGTTCAAATAACCCTTGCCCCACACCCTACGTTTGGTCTAGGGCCAACAATTCGTGTGCTACATTAAAGAGAGAATCTAACTGACACAGAAGTAAAAATGCCTAAGGCAACTTTATTATTTCATATTGGGCTGTTTGATCAAAAAATATAGATACATACACACATTTGGGTATATTCAGTTGGTATTACAGCTGATTCCAAATCCTTAATATATTAAAAAAAAAAACAAAAAAACAACTCATTGAACTGAACATTATAAAAATTATGTATGTATGGTGAATTTGTTGAGAATATAAGGGGAACTCGGTATCATACATATACTCAATCCACAATAAAAACCTTAAATTAAAAGAAAATTCACATCCACCTAGAACTATTGGCTACCAATATGTGACTAGTCTACGCTGTTTCTAAAATTGGCTATCATCAAGATTTCCAGGGACATCAGTTTGTAGATTCTGAGGGAAAAATGACCATACTGATTTGATCAAATGTATGGCTATCAGGAAACATATTTCAGCATTATTATCACACTAAGTAAAGTAATATAATTGATGTTGTTGTTAAGTGCCATTGAGCCGGTTCCAACTCATGGTGACCCTACATAAGGTTTCTGAGGAGCAACTGGTGAGCTTGAACCACAAACCTTGCAGTTTCAACTGACTATGCAGCCCAGCACATTAACCTGCAATGCCACACTAGGACAGTACATGCAGTAGAGTGAATTAATTCTGAGAAAAGGAGCCAGGCTCTGATGTGGACACAGTATGTGAGAATTTGGCCACCACAAGCCATGGTAATGACAGAATCTGTCCACAGGATGTGTTGATGGTATGAAACATGCCAGGAGAGCATATGTCAGAGAACATAAATAATATAGGACATATTTGGGTCATATTTTATTAAAACTGATAAGTATATTTCCCTCATGGGAAAACTAGTCATTTTCCTTATATGTCTACAGAGTATTTATGAACTGCTAGGCTGAAACATATCAACTTGAAAATTCTCATATTTAATTTTGTCGTACTGCGGTGGCTTGTGTGTTGCTAGCATGCTAGAAGCCATACCACCAGTACTTTAAATACCAGCAGGGTCACCCATAGTGGACAGGTTTCAATGGAGCTTCCAGACGAAGACAAACTAGGAAGAAGGAGAGACGGTCCACATCTGAATGGTTAACTACTGAAAAGTTTATGAATGTATAGTTTCAGAAGATGAGCCCTTCAGATTGGAAGGCATTTAAAATGCAGCTGGGGAAGAGTTCCCGCCTCAAAGCAGAGCTGACCTTAATGATATGAATGGAATAAAACTTTCAGGACTTTCATTTGCTTACGGGACACAACTTGAAAAAACAGCTGTAAATCACCATTAATAAACAGAAAGTGGAATGTATGAAGCATGAATCTAGGAAAATTGGAAGTCAAGAAAGAGGAAATGGAATGCATGAAGAATGATATCCTAGACTGAAATGGACTGGTATTGGTCATTCTGAATCAATCATATGGTTTACTAAAAATGTACAAAGATCATACAGCTCTACAGTGGAATCAGGAGTCCTGGTGTGGCTATTGGATAAGCATTGGATCACAAGGTTGGTTTGAACTGCAAGGTCAGCAGTTCAAACTCACCAGCCACTCCTCAGAAACCCTGAGTTGGAACCGACTGGATGGCAGCACTTAACAACAACGGAATCAAGAGTAGTCACAGAGTTTTGAAAAGATGATTAAGCCGCAGAATTTCTTTAGAATTTCCTTGACTCTCCACAACAACAGCAAAGAGAATACGATTTTAAAAATAAAGTTTATGGTAAATAATGCACAAAAACACTATATGTTCAATATCCCCACAAACCCAAAATGCAAACTTGTAGTCACTGACAGTTACAAAATCCATGTGGTACCACGTTTGTGTAGGAGAATACAGAGGAAAATAGTAGAGGAACTCTCCTAACAGCAGGAGAACCCCTAAATAAGAAAAAAGCATTCCTGCAAACAGTGAAGACTACTCTGTGACTTGCAGCTGATACATGGAAGAGAAGAAGAGAACTATACTTAAGGTTTGAGGGCTAGGAGCAATAGGAACAATAAGAATTCCCAGTAGTATCAGAAACTCTCTTCCAGTCAAAGTTCTACATTGAGAGAAAATGTTGGGAGCAAAATTCAACTTTTGAAGGATGTACTCAGGAACAAAGGACATAAAAATTCAGATCAGTTGAAGGGGAGGAACAAAAAGAGTAGAGGACTTTTATTTTTAAATCACTGTGCAAAAAGTACAAAAGAGAAAGGTGTAGAGCAGTAAAACAACAACTACAACTACAACAACAACAACAACAAATCCTGATACATCTCTCCCTACTAAAGTTTAGTAAAATTAATTTCAAGTGAAAAAATGCACAAAAGAAAAAACACTGTGATGGAAACGGGTAAGGCAGTCAAACACTACACATAGTGAAGTCGATATGGCTCTATTTATGAGTCAAGCAAATTTGAAGACAAAGAGTTATTAACAGAGCATAATTTTATAATGACAAAGACAAGAAATCATCAGGAAGACATAATAGCACATAGGCAGGAACAATGTACAGACTGTCTACAACCGAGATACGGAAAACCAAATGCAACAGATGCAGATGATGGTTCTGGAACCCTGAACTTCACATAAAAAGATAGAGAAATGACTTGAATGCTTACTAGAACAGTTCAGTAATGCTGAACAGAGGCAACAAAAGAAAAAAGAGAGAGAGATACATGGATGACCTATGCCAGGACTAGTCAGACACAGTGCATCCAACTTGAACTTTAGTGAGCAGCTTTGGAGACAAACAGTAGTTTGTTGGCACAAACTCGTATCGATGACAGGTGGAGAGAAATGTGCAATTTTTTCCTTGTTTCCCACACTCCTCTGGTGACCAGAGGTGCGACCTACATACACCCCCAAAGAAACTCCTGCTCTCTGGGCTGTCAGAGTCACATGGTAGTGAGCTGTATAGCTGTGAAAAGCATCAAAGTGAGTTGGGAGCTAATGCACCAACTCCTGCACCTGGATTCAGCTGAGGTTTGCTCCTCACTAGCAGACGCGGTTCTGAACTAGTGGGAACTCTTGTCCTGAGCTGCAACTCTAGGCCAGAAAGACTCGGATACCAGCAGCTTTGAGGTCTGCACAAATTGCTTCCAGACTGGGTGCCCCAACCAGACAACACCTAAGCCTATAGACACTTCATTTAGCTCTGAGTTCTCCGCCATCACATCCCTATCCCATCCATCCCATGATCTCCTTGACTGGCACGAGCTCCCGAGGCTTCTCCTCTCTGCATCTGGCATCCGCCCTGGTGTTTTCCTTCCATTGTTTTGCATGTTTATCCTTTCTTCCCCCTTTTCTTTTATTTACCTGCACTGTTTTCTTATCCTTTCTATCTCACCTTCAGTTTTTTTCCTTTGCTATCTCCCACCCAATGCTTTTTCTTCTTTCTTTTTTTTAGTTTGATCTTGATTTCTCCTTATTACTCTCTTTGTCTTTCTTCATCCATAACAACTGTTATGCACCCGATCGAGGACAACAGTCAGCATCAGCCAAACCCACCTTAAGCTGAGCCACATGAATTGTGAATGGAGAATTAGTGCATTCTCTAATTACACCCAACAGCAGCCATTCAAATGAATTATATTTGGGTACTTTCAATGGATTGACAGAAAGGATGAAGAAAGCAGGGAACAATTCAGCAAAACACTACGGGATGGCTAAAGGTGCATGGAGGGGATTGTGATCATTACAATGATTTTCCGAATGTAAAAATGTACATTGTGGAAACACAATAAAAGCTTTAAAACAAACAAACAAAC